AGTTTAAATATGAGTTTTTAGAGTTATAAAATTGATTGCAAAATTTGTCCTACCAGTGCTCTATCTGATCTCTGAGACTCTTGGTAACTAAAATTTCTAGAACTACTAAGAGTGGGATAATCTCGGATATCAGCCTTCTATAATGGTTTCTGAGAATGGAGAATTTCATGGAAAATGTGAGAAATTTTACTAAGTATATTGTTAATCAACCTGTCCAGTGCTTGAAAGTACATGCTACTATTTTTCATGCAAAGCCTTGTCACCAGGTATTAACCTGACCCTGTTCTTCAGAAAGCTTTGTACACAAGTGTGAAATACTCAATGTTTCATAGTAATCTACGAGTGCTTTAATCTTTTGTATTTGTGTTTTCCTGGAAATCAGTATTTTAAGATGTCTTCTGCTTAATTTCTAATGTAAAGTGATCTTTTGCCCAGTGAATATAACTTGTAAGAGCTTTAATTGTGAGCATTTTTAAGGCTTTTTGAATATATGGAAGCACTGCAGAGTACAGTTTTTTTTTAAGTGAGATTAAGATAAGGTCTGCACTTCCCTCAACATCTCACCCTTCCTTCCCCTCCTCCCCACCTTTTCTGCCACCTCTCCCCTTCTCCCATTTGGTTCTGGGGACTCACACAGGGCCCTAGTGGCCTCCTCCTTTGCATCCTTGAATGTGACCTCCCCAACACTTATGGTATCCTGCTGGCTTTGCCTTCAGCCACCCGCCCCCCCATTTTTTGATGCTATTGGCCACAATGCTTCCTATGGTATCTCTCTTTCACCTCCCTCGTCTTGGGGACCCCTTTTGGGGCCTCGATATCCTCACCTTGCTCTATCCTCGACCTCTGGCTCCGGCCATTGCATTGGCTCCATCCGTTTGGCCTACGTAAGCCGTTGCACCCGGATCACTCCTGACCCACATTTTCTCCCCCACCTCCTGCGTAACCCCAACCAAGGATGCCTGGTGGCTCTGTTCAGTGACGGGCCTGACTCCTCATCTCGCTGCCTGTTTTTGACTCCTCTTCAGAATTCTGTATGACTGTTCTGGTGGTCCCCCGTATTTTGTGCCACCCAACTTCCACCCTTTATGATTACTGGTCGCCGCGCGATGTTGCCTCACCCCACCGATTCCGCCATGAGCCTGTCTGCGCCATTACCATCGCCATCCTGTTCACCCTTGGCCTTGCGGGTGCCGGTACAGGCATTGCCACCCTGACTTCGCAGCAGTCCGGTCTAGCTACACTTCGTGCTGCCGTGGATGCCGATTTAGAGTGCTTGAACAATCCGTCTCTCACCTCAAGGATTCGCTGACGTCTATTTTGGAGGTTGCTCTTCAAACCTCTGAGGACTGGACTTGCTCTTTATGAAAGAGGGGGGGTTGTGTGCTGCCTTGGGGGAGGAGTGTTGCTTCTATGTTGACCATAGTGGAGTGATTAAAAACTCCATGTGAGAACTAAGGGAAGGTTTGGAGCAGAGACCTCGGGAACATGAGTCTTCTAGCTCTGGGTGGGCCCTGCACACTCTACTTCCTTACTTGTTGCCACTCTTGGGTCCCCTGACTGCCCTTTTATTGATTGCTACTGTGGGCCCCTGCATTTTTAACCGAATTACCGCTTTTGTTAGACAGCAGATAGCTTCTCTATCTGCCAACCTCATACAAGTACATTACCACCACCTGGCAATGGAAGATGATTCCCTGGACTGTGCGGCAGCAAAATCTGCTGCAGAGGACAATTCGTGGGTCATGGTTGATTGGACCCATCCTTGAGTTGTTCATGGCCAGCTCCCCCACGCCTCTCTGATCTGACACTCTGGGTATGAAAGAGTCGGACTTTACCCTATTCCATTTTTTTCAGCCTCTAGGTGTCTGGCAAAGCAGTGGAAGGAAGGCCTCCTGGCTGCTTCCGACTCCCTGTGGAGTACACTGGGCCTGCATGGAGGTTTCCTCTGCCTAGCGCTGGCCCTTTTCCGCAGCTCCTCTCCACTAGTAGGGTGAGCAGGGGAAAACGGGCTTTGTCTACTCTACTCCCCTCCGCAAAACAGAGGTATTCTGGATATTTTGGAGTGGTCCAGTCAATGCTCCCCCTAGCTGGCGTCTTTTATAATAAAGGAAAGGGGACATGTGGGAAGCTGGCCCTTTAACTGACCAAGGGCCTACGTGCCTGTGCTAGGTATGGTCATTTTGACCTACATGACACCACGGCAGGCAAAGCCAGTGCTTTGTATGGTTATCTTGATGTATGGTTATCCTGAGAGAACATTTGTCATGGCTGTTATTAATAACAAGAAGTAACTATCTCGTGTCTGGTACGTGATACGTATAAGCTTGGTAAATCATATGGACATGGCCCTTTGTGTATCTACCTCATGTCTGGTAAATCATATGGACATGGCCCTTTGTGTAATCACCTCGTGTCTGGTACGAGATACACACAAACCTTGTAATGCATGATATGTGAAAACAAACCTTCCTAACCACATATGGGCACGACCTTTTGTGTAGCTGCCTTACTAATGGATATATACCCTGATTGCCCCCAATAAACTCTGTCCCTTTTTCTCTCTGTTTCTGAACTGCATTCTGTCTCTTGTGTCTTGTGTTAATTCGGTTGGTCCCTCCTTGCGCCTACGGATCCTAGGGCCACCTCCGCGGGCCGGAGAGTGGTCTGGCGGGGCTCCCCGCACTTTTGTACATGGTGTTACGTAGGCTTCTGAGCCCAGTTTTTTGCATGTAGCAGTCCAGTTTTGCCAGGGCAATTTGTGAAAGAGGATTTCCTTTCTCCACTTCACATTTCTTGCTCCCTTATCAAAGATTAGATGATCATATTTTTCGGTGGACATGTCGTTATATTCAACCCTGTTCCATTAGTCTGCAGCTCTGCCTTTGTTCTAGTTCCATGCTGTTTTAATTAATATTGCTTTGCTTGGGATAAAGAAAATAGGAGGAATCAACCTCCCCCACCTCAAACTCTACTTCAAAGCAGTATTTTGTACTGTTCTTGATGCTGTTAGTCTATTTGTCTTTTTCTATGCTATGTTTCAAATTGTAGGGCAGGAGAGAATACAATAGGTAGAGTGCTTGACTTGCATGCAGCCAATCTAAATCGAATTCCTGAAATGAGATATTATCTGGCTCCAACAGGAATAATCCCTGAGCCAAAAAGAGTAAACCCTGAGCACTCCCAGTATGGCAAAAAAACTGAAAATGAATAAACAATTTCAAAGAAAATAAACACACAAAAAAACAGTTCTAAAAAAACTTTTAAACTGATGAATGCACAAAATAGATGTTTTCATTAAATTATTTAAATTTATTTTTTAACTGTGGCCGAAGTTGGACACATTGTAGGGTGTTTGCCTTGCATTCCTCTGAGCTTGATTTGATCCTAACCACTCCATACAGTCTTTGAAGCCTGGATCATGATGAGCACTGAGAATAGCACTGTAGCACTGTCCTCCCATTGTTCATCAATTTTTCTCGAGTGTACACCAGTAACATCTCCATTATGATACTTGTTGTTACTGGGAATTTTTTGCATATTGAATATGCTACGAGAGCTTGCCAGGCTCTGTCGTGTGGACGGGATACTCTAGGTAGCTTCCCAGTGTCTGTGAGAGGGATGGAGGAATGGAACCCAGGTTAGCCACGTGCAAGGTAAACACCACCAGGGATGGTCCAACATCTTCCCCAAATTACTGGGGCTAGAAAGGTATTTCAGAGCATTCTGTGCTTGCCTTTCATGCAGCCAACTCTCGTTTGATTCCCAGGACAGCATTTGCTCCCTAGGTTCCACCATGGTGATCCATGAATGGAGCCAGGAATAAGTACCTAAACACAGTCATTGGCATATAACTTGCCCCCCCATCCCCATACACACCCTGGGTTCCCAATTTTTCACAAATGGTAGTAGTACTGCATTAATTCTGTAGGAGTTTCAGATGTGTCATTATAACTCAATCTCTGTTTATACTACAGACGTTCACCATGGAGTGCATTTCTAGCTTTCTCTAAATAATTGACATACTAGTTATATTATTCTATACATACCCAATGTAACTCCCTCCTTTGCCTTCCACTTTCTTTTGGGGGCAGAAACATTGATGCTACCAAGAGTTGCTCAGTGTCTCCAAAGCCATTTCTGGACTTACTCTGCCAAGATTGGTAGCAGTTCACTTGAGCTGAAATTCACCTGAGCTTTCCTGGCAGTGCGCCTGGGCCACAGAGTAAAATTCTGCAGTTATCCTGGTACCTGGGTCCAAATCTAAATGTGCTTAGTAGTCACACTGTGATGAAGATTGGACCAGATCAGGCAATGCCTTGAAACTCCTGAAATATCCCCACAGTCCCATTTCCCATTCTCTCATCCATAAACGCTGGAAGATTTTATACTTTCTGAGTTCTTTCTGTTTATATTACCTATAAGTTTTAGTCAATTAATAAGCTTATAGTCAATAAATCCTTTTGTACCTAATTTAGTTAATTCATTCCATTGATGAATCACATCTGAATGAAATCATGTATTATTTGTCCTTCTCCATCTGATTTGTCTCATAAGTCACAATCATCCATGTGCTGAAAAATGGCATGATCTCGTTTTGTTACCTATAACTCTCAGTATTTCGTTGTACACAAGCAGTATCTTCGTTATCCAATTGCATGTCAATAGAAACTGCTGTTTTCCCCAGTCCACCATTGTACATAATGCTGCTTTGAACATGGCGATGTTTTTATTCTTTGACTTAGTGTTTTGTACCCTTTTAGTAAGTACCCAAGTGAGAATACTACATGAGAGTTTTCATTTTAATGAATTTAAATATGACTTTTTATGACGACTACACCAATCCCATTCTATGAAAGTTCAAGTGTTACATATGATACCTAACTCCTGTATATCGACATGGTCTATTTCCCATTCTTCCAATTATCAGCATTATTTTAGAATTGTAATTTAGTCATATGTAAACAAAGGTGTGAGATTATTGCATGATTTTGGAATTGTAATCTAGTTATAAATAAACAAAAGTGAGCTATTTATATTTTATTCTTAACATAGACATTTAATTTAGCCTGAGTTTTAAGTGTTTGTTATTGATATCATTTTGAAAACATGAATATTCCTACAGTTTCTTTGAAATAGAGTTTCAGAAATCCCTGGAACTTAGAGACAGAGGTGGGATAATATTAGAAGAATGACAGATGAAAGCAGGCAGAAAAGATTCTACATCAAATTTAAAAAAAATAGACGTTTTAAAAATAGGATACATGCATTATTTTTTACAAACTTTTAATGTACTACATTTAAAATGTAATTTACTGGTCGCTCAGATTAAAATTGCATGATCCACATAATGTGTAACATAACTTGCGAATTTATGAATAAAATTTAAACTTTAAGAATGAGATGATAAGAATGGATTACTGTTGAAATTTTATAATAAATGTAGATATTTTAAATTTCTAGATAATAATGCACTAGAAACATTATTTTACACACAAGTGGGATATATTATCTTTCCATTGTAACAGGTTTTTCTAAATGATTCATATGACTTTCTACGATATCCCCTTTTACAATCAAATTCAACAGTGTCCCCTGACTCGGAATACAGTTTCCTTTCTTCTGCCCATCGGAATATTATATTATGTTCATTCAAAAGGTCTTCTGATATTACACAGGGAGCTGAAATGAAAATAATATACACTTTAAATAGTATACAAATGCCTACTCACAAAATGTCAGACTTTCAAGCAGAGTCTCCTACACTCAGCCAAGAATTTAATACCCAAACTTTTTACAAAACAGAATATGGAAACCCAATCATGTGAATTTAAATCATATTTAAAAATTACTGTTTAAAGTATGAAAATGTTTGAAGTGTGAAAATTAACAGTTACAATGAAAGATTGCTAATGTCATTTATCATATTAAGATCCTATATTAAAGGATGTTTTATTGTTGTGCTTCAAACAAGGAATTTTCGAACTTTATTGTCTCTTATATTCATGTTTTGTAGTCAAGTTCAGTAAGGTTTGTGAATCAATGAACATTTTTTTCTAAACATCAGTCATTTTCCTTGACTCCTTTGGAATATTAAAATATGCCAAAGATAAAATACTTACTTAGGCATCTAGGTGGTTCTGACCACTGCCCATTGCGGCATACTATAGTCCTGTCTCCCTGGAGTACATAATGGGCTTGGCATTGGTAGTCAACTTTTGATTCCGGAGCATATTCACCGACTTGGTATGAAGTAGTATCTCCATTTTCTATAGATGGGGGGGGACCACATTTTCCTACAGAGTCTGAGAAAAAATATTTGGTTTCTTGAAGCTTTATTGATTTCATGGTAATATTCATTATATTTACTAGGATAGAGAGAGCAAATGTTTAGGATAAAAATTAAATGGGTGAAACTATAATGTATGTAATATGAAGAGTCATAATTTTACATGATGGAAGAGATTCAATGAAGAATTTTTGATTTTATAAATGGTCATGCTTATAAGAATTTCCTTTCAGCCTGCATAAGAGCAGATAGAGCATTAGTGAATAGGTTTGCTTTAGTCTCTCTCACAGCGGTAGGGTGTTTGCCTTACAAACGGCCAACATGGCCGACCCGAGTTAGATTCCTCCGCCCCTCTCGGAGAGCCCGGCAAGCTACCGAGAGTATTCGATATGCCAAACACAGTAACAACAAAGTCTCCAATGGAGACGTTACTGGACCCGCTCGAACAAATATTAAAAATATATTTTCACAGGACTGGAGTCATAGTATAGAGGGCAAGGTGTTTGTTTTACACACAGCTGACCCAGGTCCCATCCCCAGCACGCTATATGATCCCCCCAAGTCTGCCACGTATGGCCTAAAAACAAGGGGAAAAATGGTTTTCATAATCAGATTGTGCTGGACAAAAGACATCTGTTACAGTGGAAGTGGAGGAAAGATGAAGGACAACACATAATCTAGTAATTTAATTGGTCTTTTAAGTTTTACTCACTGAAGAGGGAGCCAGTGAAATAGATAATGGAAATGGTCGAGGGAGTGGAAAACAATGCGACATCAGAGGGGGTATGGCTGGTACCAGCTTCTTTGACCCCTCATCTGTGCCTGGGTGGATGGCAGGAAATTAGAACATGGCCAAGAACAAAGAAAACTCATGGGTCAAAAAGCTGAGGAGATGCAAGACGCCAGTAAACAAAACCAGAGCTGCTGGCACCAGCAAGACACAGGTGCCAGGCTCCAGTCACCCCTCAAATCCAGAAGCCAGGCCATAGATCAAGTATGGTGCAGGACCGAACCTGATCTTTGGACACTGGGAGGCATGGGATGAACAGGTTGAGTCATGCCACAGGTAGGTAAAAGAGTGAGACCAACACATGGGGGAAGGACCTAAACCATCCTACTTAAACTGTCACATAAACTGGGATCATCAATATCTAAGCTTTTGAAGGCACATATTTCATACTCTACTCAAGGATTGACATATTTAAGAGATAATCCAGTTTCACAGAATAAAATGCACTATTTTGATTTCATAAAAAATACACTGCAGTTTGCATGGGATCTCTAAGATTTAACTGCTATTGATTTTTTCCAATTTATTTTTATTCGAGACACACTGATTTACAAAGTAATTCAGAGTATACTATCAGAAATACAGTGTTCTAACATCAGTGCCACCGCCAGGGACACCTTCCTTCTCCAGTTTTCCCACACTCCCTCCCACCCACCAGCTTCTAGACAGAAACATTTTAAAATTTGGTTACTGCAGCCCGGATCCCCTGCTGACAATGTGGCTGGCTCTGTGTTTTAGATATGTGCCTTTAACATACTTCTGTACCACAGATGTGCCTGAGGCCCCTGCCTTGACCAAGTAGCCAGAAAGAAGTGTTTCAGGAACCCAGAGGTAAGATAATAAGAAGAAAAGAGAAACAAAAGAAATAACAAGAAACTAACCTGATAATGAGGAACCCAGCCTCTAATAGCCATAATTACTGATAAAAAAAAAAGTCTAATGTGATAGGAAATAGGCTAACACTGGGAAGGAGGACACAAAGACAAGATCTATTTATGTTCTATCTGCAAGAAATTCTTCACACATAAAAACATAAGTGTTGGGGCTGGAGAAATAGCACAGTGGGTAGGGCATCAGCCTTGCACGCAGCAGACCTAGGTTCAATTGCCAGCATCCCATATGGTTCCCCGAGCACCGCCAGGAGCAATTCCTGAGTGCATGAATCAGGAGTAACTCCTGTGCATCGCCGGGTGTGACCCAAAAAGGCAAAAAGAATAAAATTTAAAAAATAAAATAAAAACATAAAAAACATAAGTGGATTCAAGGAAAAGACTTGGGAACATACATGTACCAGGAAAAGTTATCTTGAAAAGCTAGAAGTAGCCCATGTCCTAATTTCTTTGTTGGCTCTCCTGATTTCCTGGACTCTCAATTCAGAAAAGCCCCAATATCTAGACCTCAGACTTTTTATATGTATCTAATCATTTCCTTCATGAGCTCAGCAAGACATCATGTCTTTAAATGTAATCCATGTGCTGAAGAAGTCCAACTTAATTATACTTTCTAGAATAACTCTCTGCCTAGTCTATGCCTCCAGGTGAAGTGTTTAGACTCCAAGTATACCTAAACCCTTTCACCTTACTTATTTGTTTATTTTTGTTGGGGAGCCACACCCATTGTGCTCAGGACTTACTGCTGGCTCTGTGCTCAGGGATCACCTGAGCAGGCAAGCTCTGGTGACCATAGAGGGTTCCAGGGTTCAAATCGGAGTCAGCCATGTGCAAGACAAGTGCCCTACCACTATCTGTCTCCCTTAAACCCAAACTTAAGCATTTTTTATACCTTTTTTTTTGGTAAGTCAGGAAATAAGAGCCTGAGAGCTTAAGTCCGGGACTTATTTTCCATTACTCAGATCAAATATTTCATAAAAATAAACTATATTAAGTACACAAAACATTTATTTTCAGCATAGTCATTTAGTGAAAATATGTCATAGGATTTCCCATATATGCATGTATGTATATGTCTTAATATATTGCCTGAGCATATTTTATTTGGGACAAAATATGTTGGGATAACAGCTAAGGGCAATTCAGATACACTACCTTTACACTGAGGAGGTTTTGTCCAGAAACCATTTAAACACTGCACTTCTCCTGATTCTCCATAGAGTTTAAAAGGTTTTTCACATTCATAATATACTCGTGTACCAGGTGGGTAGCTCCCCATATCATTTCGTGTGACAGCATGTTCAACCATGGGCGGACGACCACAAGAAACATCTATAGGGAAAGCAAAAAGAGCCGTCAGTACAATAACTAAGTAGAAAATCAACAAATGGAATTTGAATAATAGTTTAGGGAGATTTAACATCCATACTTCAGGGGGCTTGAGTAACATAGCCAATCAAATAAATTCTGTGGTTCAAATCTCTTTCTTTTTCTTATTATATTGCATTTGGTGTCACACCCAGGGACTACTCCTAGTTTGGTGTCCAAGTCGCAGTCCTGGCGACAGATGTGTGCCTCCTGCATGCAAGCTTCTGTGTGTTCAAGCCTAAGAGCTGTCTCCCTGGCCACAGTCCCTATTTTAAACTTTTCTTCTATCCTTCACAGAGTTAATAGACACTTTAAGAGGGGTTGGAGCAATAGCACAGTTGGTGGGGCATTTGACTTGCACGCAGCCAACCTGGGTTCGATTCTCAGCATCCCATATGGTCCCCTGAGCTCCACCAGGTGTGATTCCTGAGTGCAGAGCCAGAATTAACCTCTGTGCATCACCGGGTGTGACCCAAAAATTTTTTTAAAAAGTGAATAATAAGAATTTCTACTTTTTCCTCTCTGGTCTAAACAAATTCATGTTATTAACTATATAAATTTTAAATGAATAGATTGTAGGAAATATTACAATGAATTCATTGACTTCAGAATTTGGTTCTCAATCAGTCTCTTATTGAGTAGCAATTTTTTTTGTTTCTAATCTTTTTTTTCTTTTTTTTTATTAGTGAAGCACCATGAGGTACAGTTGTAGATTTACAAATTTTTGTGCTTGGGTTTCGTTTATACAATGATCCAATACCCTTCCCTCCACCACTGCCCATTTTACACCTCCATGGATCCCAGTATCCCTCCCACACCCATCCCCCCATCCCACCCTGCCTCTGTTACAGGGCATTTCCTTTTGTTCTCTCTTTCCTTTTGGGTGTTGTGGTCTGCAAAGAGGCATTGAGTGGCAATCATGTTCAGTCCATAGTCTACTTTTAACATGCATCTCCCCTCCTGGGAAGATCCTCCAAACACCCTTTATTTGGTGCTCCCTTCTCTATCTGAGCTGCCCTTTCTCCTAGAATGGTCGGCTGGCCTCTAAGCTATGGAGTAATCCTCCTGGTACTGATCTCGGCTATTCTTGGGTATTAATCTCCTGTTTTGTTACTTCATATCCCCCTGATGAATGCAATCTTTCTATGTCTACCCCTCTCTTTCTGACAATGAGCAGCAATTTTAAGTACATTCCTTAGGGACTACAGCAATGAACACACTTTAAAAGATGAACTCGAAGAAAAAGAATGATTAGAAGATCCAAACAGTGTACTTGTAGAAGTAACAGAATGGATGCATTTCCTATGAAAACACCCTTTAACAACTTTTTCATTACAAATGGTTCAGACTACTCCCATGAGTAATGAGTAATTCCTCAGGAAGTACTAGTGGCTATATAAAATAGAAGAAACTACAGCTAAAGTGCACAAGATTTCTTTGGAACTTAATTTGTTCTGAGGGTCACATTTCCAGAGCTTTTGATTGAATGGGTCTTAGTGAACTTTAAATTAACCTTTGCTTGTAACTTGCCTGAGAGACTTATATTACTATTTCAAAGACTACAGTGAGTACTACCGAACTATCTATTAACCGTTGAGGACACAATTCCATCCACAATTATATCAAGGCATAATCTGGATCTGCTAAAAAAGGAGTCTTTAAATAGTATATTATGATAATATCAAATAAGTGTAATAAATTAATTAAAATTATCACTGAATTACCTCGGCATGTTGGTCCTCCTATCCATTTGCTGTTAACACATTGTGCAAAATTGGGTCCATCTAGTTGGTAATTATATGAACATTTATAAGTCACCTTTTCTCCTGACTTATAGGAGCTTTTCTTTGAACCTATGAGCATGGTGTTAGGGAATTCGGGTAAGTTTGAGCAATCTGTTTCTGAAAAAAAAAAAAAAACAAAGAATACATGCTTATTCAGGAAATCTGTCAAGAAAATACCCATAATATCCTTTAGTTAAGTTCTAGAATAATAGGAACATATCAAAGTATGTATGTCTAATATAATTTTTATTATAATTTGAAAAATACCAACATACTGACTTAACTGCATCAAATGACTGGTTTTATATTTATCCAAAGTAGAATATGGATATGATGATATTGAAAACCTAAATATGTATGAAAACATGTGTTGCTTGAGGTCATACTTCTTATATTCAAATTCTTTTCTGCCCACAAAGATCAGCAACAGTGTGTGTGTATGTGTGTGTATGTGTGTATTGTCTGTGAAAATCTGCTAGCTTTAATGTTAAATATCTTGTAAAATATTTCTTGATAAATAAATCATTGGAAGCTGGAAATTAAATCATAGAAAGTTGCATACTAATGAAATTGATGAGCCACTTAAGAAATAGGAAACATGGAGTGTCAAATGTATATTATAAGTACAAATATATTAGACAGAGAAATGGAGAGAGTGAGAAAGAAAGAAAGAAAGAAAGAAAGAAAGAAAGAAAGAAAGAGAGTGAGTGAGAATGAGAGAGAAGAAAATTGCTTGCGATAGACGCCATGGGGGTGGAGGAATGGGAGAGGAAAACTGGGAACATTGGTGGTGGGAAATGTACACTGATAGAGGGATGAGTGTTGGACCAGTGTATGACTGAAAACCAATTGTGAACAACTTTGTAACAACTTTGTACCTCACTGTAAAATAAAGTGAATGTTGGAGAGGGAGGATATTGAAACAGTAGCCAAGGTGGTGGGAAAATGTTATTATTTAGCTCATGTTGTCAATTTTTATTACTGGGGAAACTACTTCTACCAATTTCAAGACCTTCCCAGAGATAGCTTTATAAATTTTGGAATTACTACTTAGATTAATATTTATAGTATCTATATTCTGAATTAGAGATATTTGTCAGCCTTAGAAGAATATAATACACTGTACTTATGCATTCTGGTGGACTGGACCATTTTTCGCCTAAACATTTTGCTGTTGCAGGTCCATCAATTCCATAACCTTCAGAACAGCTGTATGTAAATTCTTCTCCGTATTGGTAACCATCTCCCTTGTGGAATGGAAGTAGAGCATGAGAAATAGGAGGTGGAGGTCCACAAGGAAGTCCTAAAAAACATAAAAGAATGACTCAATGTTTCACTAACTTTGAAATCTGATTTTATTAACTGCTTAGGAAATTTAATATGTAGTGTTAACATAACAATTTTATTTTATTTTTATTTAATTAATTTTTGGTTTGGGGACCATAAGTGGTCCCCAAAAGAAAGTTCAGGCTTTCTTTAGGCTCTGCACTCAGGCATCACCCCCAGTGAACTGGGGGCACTAGATGTGGTACTGAGGATTGAATCTGGCTGGGCAGCCTGCAAAGCAAATGCCTTACCCTCTGTGCTATTGCTCCTTCGTAGAATTTTATTTGACACTAAATCAAAACTCAGAAGCTAAGATGACATCACAGAGAAGATTTGCAAATAGGTCCTAAAATCAGTCTTCTAGCATAATCCCAGCTGTTAATATGAGCAAGAATATGTAGCCAAGAGTATAAATACATATATCTATATCTACATAGATATATATGAGAATGTATATATAAAAATGTATATATGAGAAGCCATAATTTATTTACTAATCAATAAATAACAGTAAAAGGAAATACAACAGGAATTAACCATCTTAAGAAATGTACCTTTTACATTTACACAATGGAGTACTATGTAGCTGTTAGAAAAGATGAAGTTATGAAATTTACATACAAGTGGTACTACATGGAAAGTATCATGTTAAGCGAAATGAGTCAGAAAGAGCGGGATAGACACAGAAAGATTGCATTCATCTGGGGAACATAAAGCAACAAAACGGGAGACTAACACCCAGGAAGGGCTCAGATTAGTACCAGGAATTTTGCTCCATGACTTGAAGGCCAGCCACATGTGCTAGGTGAGAAGGAAGCTCAGATAGAGAAGAGAGCACCAAATAAAGGGTGTTGTGAAGACCCTCCCAGGGTGGGAGAGACATGCTAAAAGTGGTCTATAGACCAAACATGACTGCCACTCAATGCCTCTCTGGCAAAACACAGTACCCAAAAGAAGAGAGAGAGAACAGGGAGGAATGCCCTGCCACAGCGGCAGGGTGGGACGGGGGGGGGAGGATGGGGGGTCGGAGGGATGCTAGGACCCGTGGTGGGGGAGGATGGGCACTGGTGGAGGGATGGGTACTTGATCATTGTATAACTGAAACCTAAGCACAAAAATTTGTGAGTCTATAAGTGTACTTCATGGTGTTTCACTAATAAAACAAATAAAAAAAAAAAACATATATTTTGTACTGGGTACTAGCCTGAGTACTGAAGCAGAGTGAACAGGACAGAAATACCACCCTCAAGCATGTTACGGCGCTAGAGTCTTTTGAACCAAATGAAAAATTATCATTTACCTATTCTGCAATTTTGCAATAACATGTAACAAAAGAGTTCTCCCTTCAATACAGCTGTGTCTCCTAACATCAAGAAGACATGGCATATACCAACACATTTTACAGTAGACTCAGCAACCAACTGAGGGGCCACTCTGAGCCCACCCAACCAAATATTGAAAATTGAATGATCAAAACCTTATTAAAATCAATGAATTCAATTAAAATGAAATTCAATTAAAACAAAGGTAATATTGACTTAGCACATATCACTTCTTAACTACACCTTATTCTGATTTTGATGGCTACTTATAGTTATTGATACAACTGTATGTTATTGCTTCAGTATGATGGAAACATTAAAAATGTGCTAATTTAAAAAAAAAAAAAGAAATGTACCTTTGCCCCATTGGCTCCAACAGTCAAGCTCAAACACCAAATGTCTGAAACTGAGTTCCTCTCATACAATGCACCACGGCAACAACACATCATCAGTAGGGTAAAACTGAACTATCTCACGATGGTTTATCTAGCTCACGTTCAATCTCTGACGACCCAGGGATCTCACCCAGAAGACCCACCCTGCCAGAGCCACATAAATACCTCATGGGCTGACCTCCAATACTTCCACTACCCATCCAACGCCAAGCTCCAGGCCACTTTCCAGACCGCAAGACACATGAGAAGACACTTAATACCCATCTTCCATTATTACTGCACCATATTTGATGGGGTTCAAATATGGTTTGAACCATGGGAACACCTGCAAGGGTGATTAGAGGCCACGATAAAAGCCTCTATCCTTCTCAGAGAGTCCGGCAAGCTACCAAGAGTATCCCACCCGCAAGGCAGAGCCTGGCAAGTGATCCGTGCTGTATTCGATATGGAAAAACCAGTAAATAAAATCAGTCTCATTCCCCTGACTCGAAATATAATTTCTTTTTTAATTGAGAAGTTCTACATGGAGCTGGAGAAGTTCTATAAAGAAGACCACACCTCCTACAGGATCATTGTCCATGATTTTAATGCCAAGATAGGACCGAGAAGATAGGCCAAAGAACTCCACATTGGGACCCATGACCTAGAATGGAATGAACAGGGTGAGAGAATCTCTGAGTTCTCATGTCACTCAAGACCATCCATGGTACCTCACAGTTCCAGAGGCTGAATCTAAACACTGGATATGGGAGTCTCCCGATGGACAGTTCCAAAATGAAATTGACCACATCATATTCAATTGATGGTTTTGTCTGACTGATGTCGCTGTTGTCCCAAAATTCCAAATGGGATCGGACCATAGTCTCCTTCTTGCAAAATTCTTTTTCATGGAGCAGGGAAAAGAGGCTGCAAAGTTTAAGAATCGAATCCCAGAACAACCACCAACTGGGAGCTCTTTGACACTATTGAGGCAACATGGGAAGATGTGTGGTTGATAATATTGACGAAGAATATAATCAACTGTGCGAAGAACAGGTAAAGAGAGTAAGCCACAAAAAGATGCCTATCTTCAGAAACTCTTGAGCTCTTTCGTCAACATGCCTTTGTGTGAGCTAACATCAGAGATCGTAAAGCAGTGCAGAGAAGGGATAAAAGACTTCAAAAAGAAAAGCAGTAGTGCTGGCCAATGCAGCAGAAGCTGGGAAAAGCATTTGCAATGCACACCTGTCCTTCACCAACTACAAGACCAAGATGACTGACCTCCGACATCCTTATGGATCTATCTCATCTTTCAGAAGGACAATGGAAAAGATTATCCATGATTTCTACTCAAATCTCTTTGATAGCCATGTCTACCTGTCCAAATACCAAATTCCACAGGATTGATATGTCATTCCCAACATTCTCCCTTCCAAAATCTGACAAACCATTTCATTGGTAAAGAAAGTGAACAGCACCTGGCCCAGACAAGGTCAGAACTGAACATCTGAAGAATCTGTTGTCAGTGCTCATCAATGCACTGGCTCAGCTCTTCACAGGCTACCTGTCTGAATGCAAGTTTCCATCCCAGTGGAAAACCAGCAGGACTGTACTCCTGTACAAGAAGGGATACATCCATGACATTGGCAACTATCTCCTGATCTGCCTGTTGTCTGTCATCTACAAGCTGTTCATTCAAGTCATCCTGAATAGGATTGGCAGAGCACTAGATGACGGATAACTATGCAAGCAAGCTGGTCCACAACTACACCACCTCTGCTTTGCTGATGACATCGTTCTAATAACACCAAACATTAGCCAAGCAGAACAAGTGCTGGCCAACTTTGACCATGAGTATTGGAAAGGTCGGACTGCAGCTGAATCTCACGAAGACAATGTTCATGAGAAACAGACTCGTTTCCGACATTCCATTCACTCTCAATGGAACGAATATCTCTGAATGCAGCAGTTATGTGTACCTAGGTCGAGAACTCAACATGACAAACAACCTGGCACCTGAGTTGTGCAGGAGGAAGAGAGTGGCATGGAACACTTTCAAGAGCGTCGAAGAAATAGCTAAGAGGATGAAGAACCTCCAGCTCTGGGCACATCTCTTCAACTCCACCATTCTTTCTGCATTAACATATGCCCAAGAGACCTGGGCCTTATGAAAACAGGATGAGAATGCTATTCGGGTATCCCAAAGAGGAATCTAAAGAGCTATGCTTGGAGTATCACGCTTCACTCAAGTGAGAGAAGGAATCCAGAGTTCCGACCTCCGTCGGCGATCCAGAATCAGGGATGCTGTCTCACTTGCCAAGGAGTCGAAAATCAGATGGGCTGGACACATAATATGATTTGGAGAGGACGGCTGGTCTATAGCCATTACTGACTGGATTCTACGTGGCCTCTAATCACCCTTGCGTCAAAAGATCGCGTAGCCGCCCATCTATGAGATTGTTCGACTTCTTTGTCAAGAATGTGAGTGAAAGTTTTGAGGCTCTTGGGTTCCTGGAGCAAGCAGATGCCATTGGGCTACACTAGTACGAGTGAAGACGTTGCTGGCACCCGCTCGATCAAATTCATGAGTAATTGGATATCAAGTGATCAAGTGAAGAAATGTACCTTATATTGTAAAAAATTTGGGCAACGTAAGGACAAAAAACCTGGCTGAAAAGTAAACACCGCATTATAGTAAACACTGCATAGTTCCCATTCAGCACTTATATGGATGCAGAATCACAGTATATGAATAGGTAAACTTAATTTCACTCTACACTGAATTTCAGCACAAAAATGGCCAAATTATAAGTGATATCTATAATGAGCCTATATTATTTCCAATAGTAGATTGATTTGATCATACCAAAAATTGTTTGCTAGAGTGCATAAATCATGTCTAACATACCAAAAACTATTAATTTATAAATCTGAATAGTTCTCCCAGTTGAAGGTAACTGGTTCTTTTTACAAATTTTACTGAAAAAATATTGTAATTCTTGTATTATGCTCACCTACACACTGAGGTGGAGAACTCCATTGTCCCATGGAGCACGTTATCTTGTTGTCTTCTTCATATATCCTAAAGCCAGCTTGACAAGTGTAATTCAGTATGGTGCCATGTGGGTAAACTTTAGGCCCTAGTGAAGATCTAGCTGATGTAATGTTCCCATGTGCAATCTGAGGTGGTTCAGAACATGGACGTTTTTCTAGAGGAACAACAGAGATAAAAAAATATTTTGTATTAAATTTATTATCAATTAAAATGTTACAATGAAAAAAATCAATCCAACACTGGCATTTAATCTGAGGGAAATGAGAATAAATTAAATTTTAAGGTAAAAAATGAAGCTTGCATGGTTAGATATCTTTAGTTGATCTCACATATATATGTTCAATATACCTCAAAACACTTGTTCAATTTTTGTGAGCAGGAAAATGGTCATAAATAGAACTTGTAGCTTGTTTAACATAGCAACTTCCATTTTTTCCCCACTTGTTTCTCAGGACAACCTAAAAGAATTTAATTGATTTGTTTGTACTGGTAATTTGCTATTTTAAGAGAAAGTAAATGAACATATAGGTTTCACTGCTTTAATTTAAACAGAACAATGGTTTTGGAATAATTGTTACAAACTATACAATACTGACCTACACAGCGTGGTACTGACACCCAGGTTCCATTTTTGCACTCCATTTCTTCTGATTCCTGGATTAGATAATTTTCTTGGCAGAGAATTGATATTTTTTCTCCATCCTGGTAATTGACTGTGGTGGTCATAATTTGACTATTGGGAATCTGAGGTGGAGGTGGGCATACTTGTATTGGTTTATCTAAAAATATTAAAATTAAATTTTTGATAAAAAACATGTTGAAAGATTACAAAGATAATACCAGAAATGCAAAACTCAATAAGGAAGTATCACAATGATTACACAATATATGCTTTATGTATAATATGTCATGATTTTGGAATTTTTTACTTTTATACCCTCTGTGATCATATTTAGTAATCTTGAAACTTTTTAAATTTTATACCTATTGCAGATTTATTTATACACAGTATATATTGATCTACGATTTTTAAACAAATCTATATACATAGGTAAGTACAACAATGCTTAAGGATTGGATTAAAACCATCTTAAAGGTGTGGAAGGATAAGTCAAAGGGCTGAAGTTCATGCTGGGAAGGCCCAGGTCAGGGATAAGGACCAGGTTCACTTTGTGGCACCACATCGTGCCCTGAGCACATTCAGGAACAACTGCTAGTGCACAGGACCTGGGAATCTTCCTGGAGACCCTCTGGTCGTGGTCTAAAAATAACTTTTAAAAGAACAAAACCTTTTCAATATAGTCGATTAATGGATGCTGATTTATCAGAGGAAGATATCAACTTAGAAGATAACAAAAAGACAGAAACAGGTCTTTGGCCCCTATAAGAATGAAATATGTTCTCTAGTTACAAGATTAAGAATTTAAAACTCCCTAGAGGTACAATAACTATTCTGTTTGCAGTGCCTAGAAAGAAATATATAAATTGATAAAATGCAACTGGTTAACAGATCATCAACCTGATATTATTTTGAAGAATAGTAGAATTTAAATGATTCCTCTATAATCACGTGTCTGAGCTCCTGTAAACCATATCTCAGCTATATCTTAGGAGCTCATATTCTGAAGACCTCTTCAAATGAGAAGATCTTTGACTCCACTATTGCTCTTTGATTTTTGCTTTCTTCTCTCATAGCAAATCTTTATTTCATTCAAAGCTATATTGAAATATATGGAGTGAAAATTGAAAACCTAAATTTTCCAAAATTGTATATTCAATTCAGAAAAATATTTGACTTAAAATACTTTATTCATAGTTATTAACATCATCAAATTTTCCAAGTTAAGAAGACAACTTTGAAGTTAATCAAAATATTTTTCTTGGGGCTGGAGAAAGTATAACAGACGGGCACTTGTCTTGTATGTGCTGACCCAGATTCAATCCTCATGACACCAAATGAACCCCCGATCCTTCCAGGAGTGATCTCTAGTTCAGAAACAGGACTATATCTGCGAGTGGCCCAATCCCCCAAAAATATTTTGTTATTTCTGTTTTCAATATCTTGGAGGAGTTTATTTTCAACGTGTTCACAAGGAATACCTTCCCCTTTACTCTTAATCAGCACTGTGACTTGGTAGCTTTGCCATTTGTTGGACTAACCAAGAAACTTCTCTCATCGTTTCAACTTAAACTTAGTAACTGTTTAAGTTTTTTAAATATTTTTGTCAATTTACACTCCAGCTACTCTTTCATTCAATGTTCTTTTGATTTTCTAGGCACTAGATTGCAATATAGATTTAACTTTGTTCCTTGTTATTTAATGCCTGTTTTAAACCTATAAATATCTTTCCTTGGCACTATACTCATGACGCTATACTCATAGATTGCAGTGTGTTCTCCCATTATGACAATTTTATTTATTTAAAGTATTTTCCACTAGTAAATTCTTAAGAATTTGCTTAAGAACTTGCTATCCTTCCAGATTTGTGAGATGACAAAATAATAAATGTCCTTATATTTTTCTTGTTTCTTAATTTAGAGAGTGGTATGAAGATATATATAGTTATTTCCACAAATACTAAATACTAAGCACTTAGTATTTTTGGAAATCTCTGTATAACAGGAAATAATATTTAAAAAAATAATTAACTATATTAAATTAGAACAGAATAGATTTGAAGAAAAATAGTATTAAATTATTTAAATATGGGCCCACATTCTCTGGGCCAAAGGAGCTGAAGACGCTCCAGCTCAGTGTGGTCTGCCCCATTTCATAAAGAAACTGTGCGGCTGCTTATGCATCCAAGCAACATCTATTGTCCCCATTCTCACACCCGATACACCTGCTGGAAAAAAACAGGGACACATGGTAGAATCAGTTTACCCTGAGACTGCTTCCATTTACATTGTGGGACCCACCTCCCCTTGCCTCTTTTTTTGCACCACCTCATTTTTTTGCACCACCACATTTTCTTACCTCACATTTTCCAGTCTCATTCCTAACTTGCACCCACCCTTTAAGTCTTGGTGGTCATCACCAAAGACTTGTATCTTTGACAGCAGCTCCATAGTTGCCAACCACAAAACAGAACAAGAAAATTAGTTTAAAAATCACATGGGGACAGATGTCCAGAGGTTGCCTCAAGCCCATTACAATTTCTGACATACACACACAAATTTTGACACTATTTGAGGATGAACAATCTTCATGACTATAGAGTAAATGAAAGAAGCTCTGAAAAAATAAACTCAATAATCTCAAAGAAAAACTAATGCAAAATATTGGAGAATACCTTGAAATGGAATTGAAAAGAGATCAAGGAGACAGTAACCACTAATAGCAGCAGAATTCAGATAGCAGAGTGTCAGTGAAGACATAGCACAAGCTAGCATCATAGAAGAAGAGCCAAAAGAAGAGCAACATAAACATGGAATCAAATGTGAAATACTTTATGGATAACAGCAGAGGAAGAATCTTTGAGTCCTAGGAATCTTGGAAAGAGAAGCTAAGTTAGTGAGAGAGATAGAAGCTAAATACTTCCCCAATCAGGAGGCGATCTATGCATAGATTCAAGAGGCCCAAAGAAAATCAAACGGAACATCTCTAAGTAGAAGAACACCAACACATATTGTAATAAAATTGACAAGATCAAAAACATATTACTTTAAGTGTCAAGAGAGAAGAAAAATCTAAAATACAAAAGAAAGAGCTTTCATATGAAACCATACAAGCAAGGAGAAAATAGGATGATCTATTCAAAACACTGTAGGCAAAAAAACTTCAACCTCAGGCTCTCTACCCTGCAAAATTGTCACAAAAACCAGATGATAAAAACATTCTCAGACAAACAAGAGTGCAAGACATTTGCTACATCTAATCCAGCTCTGTAACAAATATTAAAGGGTCTCCTGCCAAAAACACCAATACCTAAAGACAAATATAGCCAAAATCATAAAAGAATGATTCTTAAAAATCCATAATTTGTATCAATAATTTCTTTGAATGATAATGTATGAAACTCTCCCTTGAACATCACAGAGTGAGTCTCGCCAACGAACCATCTCCGACCCTTGTAAGCTCATCATTATTCAGAGTCACAAAAAAACCTTGAAAGAAATCAACTAGTTGTGCAAACTTCTCTATACCTGTGTCTGACTGAGACAGTGGGGCGTTCTGTGAGTGGGGACACTCTTGACGTAGGGTGCCCATCCAAACAAAGTCACAGCTGCTGCTAGTTTCCATCCCCAAAGCTGCCCAGCATGCCCTGGACATGCCCATCACCTTAGGACTACTGAACACCAGAGTGAATTTATCTGGGCTGAAACCACAGATATGTGGGGGCCCTGTGGATGAAGTCTCCTTGCCTGAACAGAATCAGAATGGGCAACCTCCATCCACCTCCCTGTACTTTCAGAAGCCCCAGCAATCAAGCCCATGAACCACCTCCACTGCCATGCAAACTCATCAGTAAAAAGTTTAACTGCAGTTGGACTGACCAGTTCAACACTGTGAATTTTGAGATGTGGACATCACCAGACTCTATAACACTGGCAATCCAGTAGTAGCACATCATATTGGATAAGATGTAATGTAGAAGCCAAACAATCTCAATTTACAAAACCATTCACACAGAGGATTAAATTGTAACAGCATTTTAGTAATCTCTCTGACAAGGACTTAATATCCACATGGTGAGATACAACAATTTTCATCTAAAGAAATACTTTTTGATCATTCTGTCAGCCATTTATGTGTAACAAGCAGTATAAAATAAGTTTCTGTGGGCCTGCCACAGGGGCAGACTTAAGGGATGGTTGAAAAAAATAGAGACAATGGTGGAGGGAAGGTGACACTGGTGGAGGGATTGGTGTTGGAGTGTTGGAATACTACATGCCTGTAAGAAATCATCGTGAACAACTTTGTATAAAACAGTATTTAAATAAAGTGTGAGGGGAAGGAAGTAAATAGGCTGAATGGGTAGATCAGGAACTACTCAGACAGAAACAAAGCAGGAGTGATAGCTTTCAACACTCCATTTTTGCCATTAGACACATCAACTAGACAGAATGTCAGTAAAGATAGATGAGCATTAAATGAGAATTTGAAAGTATTTGAATTAATGGACATACATAGGGTCCAATGCCCTCAAAATGTTGAATTCCCATTTTTTCTTTATCACACATGGAACTGGAGATAGTAAATATCTAACTCCAGGATATATCATGTAACATAACATACACATATTTAGGAACATAAAAATCAAGCACTTGTTCTGACTATAAGTCAAAGGTAGAAATTAATCATATGAAGATGGTGAAACCCTGGCATATTTCTAGTGAAAATGTAAATTAATGCAGTAATTTTGAAAACAAGTACCAAGCAACCTCCAAATACCAAAATAGAATTACTAAATGATCAAACAATCTTACACCTTTCCAAAGAAGATGAAATTATTAACTTGAAGAGTCCTAGGTATTGAAATGTTTACTGCACCATTATTATTATTATTATTATTATTATTATTTGCATTTTGGGTCACACATGATGATGCTCTGGAGTTACTCCTGGTTCATGTACTCAGAATTATTCCTGGTGGTGTGCAGGGTACCATATGGCATGCTGGGAATCAAATCCAGTGGGCCATGTGCAAGGCAAACACCCTACCTGTTGTGCTATCTTCCCAGCCCTTGCACCATTATTTTTAAATACGTGAACAACTAATTTCCAATCAAAGCAGTTAGAAGTTTGTCACCTTCAGGAAAATGGAAGATACTTGAAAGAATTTTTCAATGCAAAAAAGTCTAAATTAGAAAGGAAAATATTCTATGATTTCATATACATGTGTATATGCAATAAGAAAGCAAGCATAAAAGGGAAAGTAAAGTAAAGGGCCCTCCCATTGATCATCGATTTGCTCGAGCGGGCCCAGTAACGTCTCCATTGGAGATTTTGTTGTTACTGTGTTTGGCATATCGAATACGTCACGGGGAGCTTGCCAGGCTCTGCCGTGTGGGCGAGATACTCTCGGTAGCTTGCCAGGCTCTCCGATAGGGGTGGAGGAATCAAACTCGGGTCTGCCATGTTGGCTGCGTGCAAGGCAAACACCCTGCAAAAACAAGCAATATAATAGAACTGAAATACCTGGAGGGATGAAAGGGGAAGGATTTGAGCAAGATTTGAAGATAACTAGTGGATGGTTGTGTGTGTTTCTTATAAAATACAATAGCAATAAAAGAACAATAATAAATCTGCTGACTTTCTGGTTTTGTTATGAAATTTACATGCTTTATGCATATTAAACATATAAATATAGGTATAACTATAAACTGCTTTTGCTTAAATTTATATTCAAATTGAAATTATCTTTAATAATTAGCAGGTATTTTTAGAAGAAACAAAAATTATTTTTATAATTTAGGGAGAAAAGAATAAATATTAAAACTGGACAAGAAGAGCTCACCTTTGCAGCTTATTTCAGGATTCCATTCTCCATTTATGCACGTTGAGAATTTCATTTCTGATTTATTATCACACGTGTAATTTACATTGTCATTATGATCAAAGAAATTCTTAGAACGTAAACTTGAATTAGATGAAATTAGTCTTGTTTTTTTACACTTCTTAAGTTTATTTGTTGCTATAAAATGAAAATATAATATTCAAAAGACTATAAGTACTAATGAAATGATTAAAATGATTAGAATATGGTGTCAATAGTACAATGAAATGATAACTTATGCCCATAAATCCCACCAATCAAATCACTCCTGAACATATTGCATGAGATGAACTATTATATGTGAACGAATCTTGTGTCCAATCTCATATATTTCAGAGAAAGTACCATCCCAGATATACTTTGCACTTTGGGATTAGGAGAAGAGAAGAGGCCTTGAGGGGTGTTCTTTATAGTCAGCAATCTAACAGTCATCATATGGTTCAATTTGTTCACATATCTGGAATCTGTGTAAATGTTCATATTCATTTCATTCTTGAGCGATAGCACAGCGGGTAGGGCGTTCGCCTTACAAGCGGCCAACATGGCCGACCCGAGTTCGATTCCTCCGCCCCTCTCGGAGAGCCCGGCAAGCTACCGAGAGTATTCGATATGCCAGACACAGTAACAACAAAGTCTCCAATGGAGACGTTACTGGGCCCGCTCGAGCAAATCGATGATCAACGGGAGGGCCTTTACCTTTACCTTTACCTTGATTTCAAGCATTTCAAAATCACATCATTTTAAATCCCTAACCTTTAAGCATTTAATTGAAAACAATCATCCCTGGAAAACAATGAGCTCTGCAAGTAGGAAAAGGGAAGTTTTCCTTGCCTAAACATATATTTTTTTTCCAGAAAAGCAGAAGAAATTTTAGGTTCAATATGTGATGCACTTCTAGCCTAAATATTTATTTTTCAAAACAGTAAGGTGACATAATAAAAGAATTATATGCTAAAGGTAGTGTGTAGAATGTAAATATTCAAGGAGATCTTTTGCACAGTAACCAAAATTCAAAGAAAAATGCCTCTAGCTTTAAAAAAAATGGGAGGAGAGTATCTGATGTCAAAACCTGCTTGACATATATAGTTTATAGTCATTAACAAGCTATTTTATAATCAAATAACTTCATTATCCAATAATATCAGGACATAATAATACATTTTTTCTAGGTTCAACATGAGTTAAAAATGGGTCTTTTAGGCCACCGGAAGTTACAATCTTCAAAGCTTCAATGCAAGTGAGAATTCTTTTTGAATTTGTTAAAACAGCAATACAGATTCTTGGATATTTGCTTGACTAGTAGTTAATAAATTTCAATAAGGAAAAATGAAATGTTTGAGACAGATTACCTGTTAAAAAGAAATAATAATTTTGCAATGTAACCTTGAAAATAAATTGGAAATATGAGGCTAATTCGAACTACACAAGCAGTCTGAGAATATAGTCCTATATTAAGGACTGATTCAGAGTATTGATCAACAGGGAATTTTTCAAGAATATTAACCAAAGGAGTATATATGTTAATATTATATATAATATAAAATATGGTTAATATTGACTATATATAGTCAAAATAAGTGATGCTGTCCCTATGTACTTTATTGTCTGAAAGGATTAAGTTGTGAACAAACATCTATTGAATGTCTCCTATAGGTCATCAGTGGTAATATGTGCTGGTAAAACATTAGCAAACAATAAATTGCAAATCCTTACTCTAATGGTCAAAATTACACACATTTCTTGGAATAATAAATGGGCTGGAAAACTGGTAAGTAAACAAGATTGGAGATCCAACTCTTTCTTTGATAGGACCCCATCGAAGTCTTGGGGACAAGGTATTTAAGGGAAGTGAAAGAGGGTCCTCAAGCTTCTTCTAGTTGATCACCCAAGATTTGGACATCCAATGGTTAGAAACATTCACTTACAGAGTGGAAGGCATAGCCATATTGGTTTCCTGGCACAATTGGCCTGTCTCCTATGGTTAAGTTGTCTCACTAGCTGAAAAGGTCTTCTGCCCACCCACCCTCCGGCATATTAACTTCTGTTCTGTTGTAGCTGAAAGAGAATTGATCACTATCATTTTGAGATAGGTTAACTCCTAGGAGAAGTAGAATGAGTAAGTGTTTTCTCTTGTTTCATGGCCTAAAAGAAAAGATACCATATAAGAAGCCATAATATTTTCCTGTTTATTACAACTAATAGTTTAATTCATTAGTAAGATATAGCTCAACACTTGTAAATAATTTTATATCAGGGATGGAAGGATTCATGAGATAGTATCCTCGATTTCTATTTTTCCTCCATGAAAGATGTTGTGCAATTACTGTTGTAATTTAAGATTGTACATACTAGAGAATAAATATTTAAATTTAAAAACTGGGTTTTCATGTGAAAACAATACATTTTATTAGTGAAATTTGAGAGATATACCAATGCATTTAGGAAGTTGGGTCCATCTTCCACGGAAACATGTAGTTGATTTCTCTCCAATCATTGTAAATCCAACTGTGCAACTGAACTCGACTGAATCTCCATGATAATAAAGAGGAGCAGAAGGTTCAGCAAAGCCATTCTCAAGTTCAGGTTTATCTTTGCATGTACGCTTCTCCGCTGCAAAAATTGTCATAAAATTATGTTTCTCCTTAGGAAGCAAGTTATAGTAATACATATAACAACAAAAAATATTCATTTCAATAGTGCTTAGACAGTACCAATGCACATAGGCAGAGGTGTCCAATCTCCATCAACACACTGAATCTTCTTGGAACCCTTCATCAGAAACTGAGGATCACAAACATATTCCAACACGGCATTGTGTTTATAGACGTCTCTCTCCATTTCTGTCAATTTTCCATTCAAAAGTGAAGGCGGGGAACCACAATTTTTGGCATAATCTGTAGTAGAAATGTGTGACAAATGATAATTTATATAATTTCCAACATAGATATTAAGTTCATGGCAATTTTTCTTTAATATATTTAATAATTTTATAGCATTCTTAAGCTGTGCAAAAAATATGACATTATACAAGATTGATGTTTCTCAGACCTCTTACACCGAACTTAATTATTATAACTATGTTTAAGTTTAGAAAAAGCATTCATGAATCTAAATATTATTATAAACTTGATTTAAATTCCACTTATATATTTTTCAAAGTAAATTATAAAATCCAATGCTCATATTCAATTAAGACATTTGCTCGAGGCCCTCCCGTTGTTCATCAATTTGCTCAAGCGGGCCCAGTAACGTCTCCATCATGAGACTTGTTGTTACTGTGTTTGGCATATTGAGTACGTCACGGGGAACTTGCCAGGCTCTGCTGTGCGGGCGAGATATTCTCAGTAGCTTGCCGGGCTCTCCGAGAGGGGCAGAGGAATTGAATTCAGGTAGGCCATGTTGGCTGCGTGCAAGGCAAATGCCTACCTCTGTGCTATGGCTCCAAATATTTAAAATGCCATCATTAATGCTTCCGTATTATTACTATATTTGAATATATTTTAAGCCATACAGGTTAATGAATTGAATATGACCTAGAATATTATTTAGATATACTCAAATGCTCAATGAAATTTGGAATGAAGCCAATGACATTAATTAGAGTCAATGTTGTTGGTGCAGTGGTTGGCAAAAATGAAATGTTAGCAATCACATAGTATATAAATATACTCACACTACATATTTCATGAAACAATTGTAAATCACATTCTTTGATAAAGAAATATGAGATGTTTGCTATCAAACATATATCCTTCATGGAAATGAATCTGTCTAATTGCATTAGATCACAGGAACACTAGAAGCCAACATAAAACTGAGAGGAAAAATTGTTGATACAAAAAAAATCTGAATTCTTCATTCAGCAATTGCAAGATAAATATTTACCTCTACATGTTGTATTATTAGGAGACCATCCAAAGTGATAGCATTGAACTGAGTCTGGTCCAACTCTCACAGGTTTATTTCTACAAGAGAATTTCAACACCTCTCCGATTTTATATTTTTGTTTTGAGGGCATAGCAAATATGTGTTCATCTAACATCGGGACAGTGCATTCTTTTTCTATACAAAGATAAAACAGTTGAATGAAAATATGGAATCAATCATTGGCAAAGTAAACTTTATATGTCATGTGAATATGAAGTCTACAATGTCAAATAAGTTATCTTCCTGGAAATAATAAGTAGTCATTATTTTAAATATTCTGTACTTTGATTTTGGCATCTGAGCTATGCTAATTTACTGAGCAGCAATAACTCCCAGCAATATTTTGGAAATCAACTTGCTTGACTGAATATATATCTATCAACATATAAATATTTTAATGTAAACTTTTGTATTATTAAACCATAAAAGTAACCTATCATATCAATAAAATTCTACAATCTTTAAACTGCCAAGAAACAAAAACACTATGTCTATTTAAAGTAATTATAAAACTTGAAGCATAAAGGCATTTCAACATACTCTAGAGTACAAATAAAATCATTAGGAAAAGAGAAATTAGATTTAAAAATCATCTCATTAAAACATGAAATGAAAAGCATTGTGCTCAGGGCTGATGATTGGATGTAGATTAGGAGTTCTGAATATATACATAATATACTATTGTGTTCTTGCTCTCTTGTTTGTATTTTTGTCATATTGGGGATGTTCTAAAAAGTGGGTCTCAAGAGTACAAAGATGCATCTGCTATTGTTGGTCCACCAGGGGTTGCTTCAGCATAAGGACTCAAGGACCTGATGCTGGTCTTGCTTTCTTGTTCCAACATCCCTGGGTCATTGTTGGGAAAACATGCCCTCAATAACAACTAAAGGAGCTTTATTAGAGGGGCCAGAGAGATAGTACAGAAGGTAAATCTCTCGCCTTAATGTTTCTGACTCAGGTTTAGTCCTAAGGGCATCTGGTTCCCTGAGAACCCCCAGGAGTGATCCCCGAATGCTGCAGAGCCAGGAATAAATAAGTCCTGAGCACAGCCAGCCAAATGTCTAAAGGCATGAGCCAAAAAAGTAAAGAGAACCTGGGTATTGGGCTACTCATAAAATATGAAATTGACTCTACTCCCCCTATCATCTGTCACTGTCCTCCCGTTGTTCATCGATTTGCTCGAGTGGGCCCAGTAACATCTCCATTGGAGACTTTTTTTGTTTTGTTTTGTTTTGTCTTTTTTTGTTACTGTGTTTGGCATATCGGATACACCATGGGTAGCTTGCCAGGCTCTGCCGTGCGGGTGAGATACTCTCGGCAGCTTGCCGGGCTCTCCGAGAGGGGTGGAGGAATTGAACTCCGGTCGGCCACATTGGTAGCGTGCAAGGCAAACGCCCTACCACTGTGCTATCGCTAACCTCACCATTTAGTGAGAGTATAATTTAGCTATTTATGATACAGTTCTTTCCATGTTATCTCTAGCTTCACTGTCAATCCACACTCAGGCTTTATAATGTCTGAGATTTTTGTTTTGTTTTTTTAGGTCGCAATCAGAGAAGTGCAGCACTTACTCCTGGTTCTGGGATCAGGGATCACCCCAAGAGGGGAACAAGCAAACATAGGGGGTTTGGGAGTGGGGGAGGCAGGAATGCAATAGGGGGTTGGGGGGTGGGGGAGGCAGGGATGCAATAGGGGTTGGGGGGTGGGGGAAGTTGGGAGGCAGGGTTGGCAGCATGCAATGCAAATGCCCTACCTGCTATGCTCCAGTCTAAATGAATATTTTAAAACTAGGTTCACTCTTTGCTCCTTCACCTGTTGCACATAACTGCATTTCTACCCAGAAAACTTTTATTTAGGAATGCTTCTTTGCAAAGCTGCATTGCTAAATTGAGTAAAATACCCACACCTCTATTTTCTAAATTCTTGAATTCTTTTGCTTCGTTAAATAAAAGATAGTTGGATATAATGGCTCTGGGTAAGCGCTGTGTCCTAAAATAGGTAAAGGAACAAAAATGATAACCTCTCAGCATCTGTAGTGCAAACCATAATGCCCAAAAGGATACAGAGAGAGGGAGAGAGAGAGAGAGAGAGAGAGAGAGAGAGAGAGAGAAAGAGAGAAAATTCATGCAATAATGTCAGCTGTGTGTGTGGGGAGGTTGTTGTTGGCAGAAAGGAAAATAGTGATATTGCTACTGAAAAGTGTTCACTAGTGGAGGCATGGATATTGGAGCATTGTATGACTGAAACTTAGCCATGAACAGCTCTGTAACTGTTTCTCATGGTGACTTAATTAAACAAAATTTATAGAAAAAGTTCATTGTAAATACCTTCAAATTTTGAGTTTTCTGCACCTACAAATAACATTAGGCTCATCTCTTATTTGTTTCCTGTCCAGGCTTTTATCACAAATTCCTCCCAATCTTGACAAGAATCTAATTGCCACAATACTTCTTAAAAGTTTTTAGTTTTTAGATTCACAAAAATATGGTTCGTGGATGTGGATCACTTGGCTATAATTTCTTCAACAGAGTCAAGTCCTATTTTTAACCCTTTTAAATATTTACTAATTAGCAAACACAAAAGACATTTGTGTAATAGTCCACGGATTTTTATCTAGGTCTGTGCATAAGGGACTTCTTTCAAAAGATTTTAGATATTAATACTCAAGCATAGAAGAGTAAAGACAAAAGTGAAGTGCAGAATTGCCTAAGAAGTTATGAGAAACAATAGTTTTGCACATGCATGCTATGTTTTATATAGCACAAGATAATAATCCTTCACTCACAAAGCCTAACATATAGGATCCAAAGGCAATGCTCTATGCATTGCACAATTATCTATATGTTCAACATAGACCACCCTCTTTGTGCTTCTAAACACCCATTCTTCCTAGTTTACATTAAGTAGCAAGATAACACCTGAATTTATATTATAATTCCTTAAAAATAGCTGTAGATAACCATTCATCTGATGATTCGGAAAAAGAATACTTGAAAAACAAAAATAGAACTTACCAAGGCATACAGGTTGTTCAGACCAACCATTGCGCTGACAGATTATGGAACCACTGCTCCTTCCTGCTCTGTTTTCATAGCCAGGTTTGCATTCATACTCCAGCTGGTCATGGAGCATAAACCATGTGCCATTTCTTTTACTTAATGCATTCTCAAATCTCGGCCTCTCACAAGATTCTAAAGCATATCAGAATTTGATGTTGTCATTCTTATATTAGGAAGCAATCTAATTGTGTAACTCCCATCCCAAAGGGCTTTAAGAAGTATTATTTCGTGTGCTTTTTAAAGGTATCATAAAATAATCCAGAAACATCAATGACAGACCACTCATTGGAATTACTCAAGAGGAAACAAAAGTTTCTGTATTTACCTTCTTGAAAAATGTAAACACATTATTTTCATTTATATTTAGAGATTCATAGCATACTGATAATAAATTGTGTCAAAACAGATTTGTGAATTTTAAACTGTATTTGTTGTGGTTTTTGCCCACACTCAGTGAAGGTCAGGGGTCACTCTGAGTTTAGGAATCACTCCTGGTGGTGCTAAAGGGACCATATCGAATGTTGGGGATTGAACTCAGGTTGGCCACTTGTGAGAAAAACACACTACGACACCAGTGCGCGTCCAGCTCCGGGACCGGAGCGCCCAGCAGTCCACCGGCCCCCCCATCCAGGTGGGTTGGAGGAGCCCAGTGGAGGCCCGCCCCTGACCCCAGACACGCCGCCCACCCACCGATTCCCGCCAGAGGACAGCGCCGACCCCAGCGTGCGTCCAGCTCCTGGACCGGCCGGCCCAGCAGTCCATCGCCCCCCCCCCATCCAGGATCCTGGGAGGGAGTGGCCTGGGACTGGCTATGGGCGTGGCCTCTAAGAAGGGGGCGTGGCCTCCTAAAAGTGGGCGTGGCCTGCTTCCTGGCGGGTATATCACTCACTCCAAGCAATTTGGACCTTCATCCTTTCATCCTTTTCATCAACTTGTTACCTAATACCAACCAAAAATTTCTCACCTCTTCTACTACAATTCAACAAAATCCCACTCGCCTAGTCCATTTCCAACAAAAGTCCTGTTTGAAAATAGTTGTACAAATTCAGTAGTAAATAACACCTCCTCCAAAAGTTTCACTCAATGTCAGTTATAAAACAAAGAATAACGCCTGATTGAGAAGGTCAGACTCAGAAAGGTAGAAGAGGCCCATCTAGCAGCAACAAAGCTGAACGGCTCCTGGCAGTCTCTCCTCACTCAACCAGAACAGTAACAGTGAGTGTGAAGAACCAAATCACACTGGTCACAATGGTAAAGCAACGCAAAAGCCCACCAAACTTTCTTATTCACAGGGCTAGCCCAGAAGACACCAACAGTACTATAGCATTAGACAACCTCTCTGACAAGGAATTCAGAATGGAGCTACTTAGGATGCTTAGGGAACTAAAAGATACAATGGAAACCAATGCCAATAAAAGACAAGAGGATTTGAAGGCAGAAATGAGGAAAATGCAATCAGAAATGTCGGACCTGAAAAACCTGGTAGCCGAATTGAAAACCTCAGTGGAAGGCCTCAGCAGCAGAGTAACAGCGGCTGAGAACAGAATCAGTGAGTTCGAAGCTCAAGTTCAGAGACTCTCCAGAAAAGAGCAGAAAATGGAAAAGAGACTCATAGTTCGAGAACAGATGGCAAGAGAAGATCGTGATGAAGCCAAGAGGGGTAACATAAGAATTATTGGAGTCCCAGAGGGACAGGAAGAAAACCTCGATGAAGAAAAAACTGTCAAAGAAATCATTGCTACAACGTTTCCAGAGCTGAAGAAAACTTGTGACCACATTCAGGAGGCCCGAAGGGTACCGGCTAGAAGAAATCCGAATAAAAATACCCCAAGACACATCCTGATCAAAATGACCAAAACCTTAGACAGAGACAAAATTCTGAAAGCAGCAAGATCGAAGAAAGAAATCTCTGACAAAGGAGCATCCTTAAAATTCACAGCTGATTTTAATGATGAAACCCTCAGGGCCCGAAAACAGTGGTGGGACATAGTGAAAAAACTCAATGAAATAAATGCTTCTCCAAAAATACTTTACCCAGCGAGACTCTCATTCATAATAGAAGGAACAACACACAGTTTCACAGACAAACAACAGCTCAGAAACTTCATAGACTCAAAACCATGGTTTCAAGTACAACTAAATGGTCTACTTTAAGGCAAGACAGGCCTCTCAAATACACCAAATTTCAACAGAACAATGGGTCAAAATCCCATAGCAATAATCTCTCTCAATGTCAATGGGCTAAACGCACCAATTAAAAGACATAGAGTGGCAGGATGGATTAGAAAATTGAACCCAACATTCTGCTGCCTGCAAGAAACACATCTCAATAGTCGAAGCAAACACAGACTCAGAGTCAAAGGCTGGAAAACAATCCTACAGGCAAACAGCTCCCAGAAAAAAGCTGGGGTAGCCATCCTAATATCAGACCACATCGATTTCAGAGTGAAGAAGGTCATAAGAGACAGTGAAGGCCATTTCCTATTGATCAAAGGATCTGTACAACAGGAAGAAATTTCAATAATAAATGTATATGCACCTAATGAGAGACCAGCAAAGTACTTAAAACAACTACTCATAGATTTGGAAAAAGACATCGATAGCAACACAATACTAGTGGGAGACTTCAACAACGCTTTGTCACCTCTTGATAGATCAACCAGATTCAAGCTTAGCAAGGACATACTTCATCTGAGGGAAACAATGGAAGAAAGGGACTTAGATATATACAGGACACTTCATCCACAAAAAGCTGAATACACATTCTTCTCAAGTGTACATGGAACGTTCTCCAAGATAGAGCACATGCTGAGCCACAAAAACATGCCTCCATAAAATTAAGAAGGTAGAGATTATATCAACAATCTTCTCAGACCATAATACGCTGAAATTAGAAGTAAATCACACACAAAAGCAGAAAATTAAATCAAACACCTGGAAATTAAACAGTGCGCTATTAAACAACGAGTGGCTTAGACAGGAAATTAAAGAGGAAATCAAAAGATTCCTAGAAACGAATGAAAATGAGGACATGAGTTACCAAAACTTATGGGACACAGCAAAAGCTGTGTTAAGAGGAAAGTTTATAGCTCTACAAGCATTCCTCAGGAAGGAGGATGGAGCCCCCTTAAGTAACCTAACCTCACAGCTTAAGAGCTTGGAGAAGGACCAACAAAATGACCACAATCCAAACAGGAGGAAGGAAATAATAAAACTCAGAGCAGATATTAATGAGATGGAAACCCAAAAAACAATCTGAAAGATCTATGAAACCAAGAGCTGGTTCTTTGAGAATATAAACAAGATCAATAAGCCTCTAGCAAAACTCAAAAAGGGAAGGAGAAAACCCTAATAAACCGAATCAGAAATGAAAAGGGTGACATTACAACAGAAACTACAGAAATTCAAAGGATCCTCAGGGAATACTTTGAGAAGCTTTATGCCACGGAACATCAAACATCTAGGAAATGGATATATTGCTAGACTCCTACAGACTCCCAAGGCTGAACCAAGAAGACCTGGAATACCTGAACAGACCTATCACCATCAAGGAAATTGAAATGGTAAAAAAAATCTCCCCAAGCACAGAAGCCCTGGCTCGGATGGATTCACCAGTGAATTCTTCCAAATCTTTAAAGAAGAATTACTCCCAATCCTCTTTAAGCTTTTCCATGAAATTGAAATATCAAAAACACTTCCGAATAGTTTCTACGAAGTGAATATCACACTGATACCAAAAGCAGACAGAGATAACGCAAAGAAAGAAAACTACAGGCCGATATCCCGGATGAACACAGATGCAAAGATCCTCAGCAAACTACTAGCAAATAGAATCCAACGACTCATCAAAAAGATCATACACCATGACCAAGTAGGATTCATCCCAGTGATGCAAGGATGGTTTAACATTCGGAAATCAATCAACATAATCCATTATATCAACAAAAGAAAAGAAAAAAAGCATATGATCATATCAATAGATGCAGAGAAAGCATTTGACAAGATCCAGCACCCCTTTATGATGAAAACCCTAGCCAAAATGGATATAGAGGGGACTTTCCTCAACATAGTTAAAGCCATCTACCACAAGCCTACAGCAAGCATCATCCTCAATGGGGAAAAACTGAGAGCCTTCCCTCTAAGATCAGGGACGAGACAAGGATGCCCACTCTCTCCACTGCTGTTCAATATAGTACTGGAAGTACTTGCAAATAGCAATTAGGCAAGAAAAAGATATTAAGGGCATTCAGGTAGGAAAGGAAGAAATCAAGCTCTCACTATTCGCAGATGATATGATACTATACTTAGAGAACCCAATAACCTCCACCAAAAAACTCCTAGAAACAATAGACTTGTATAGTAAAGTTGCAGGCTATAAAATCAATACCCAAAAGTCCATGGCTTTCCTATACGCAAACAGTGAGAGAGAGGAAAGCTATATGAAAAAATCAATCCCATTCACAATTGTGCCCCATAAAATCAAGTACCTAAGTATCAACTTAACTAAGGAAGTAAAGGACCTGTACAAAGAAAACTACAAAACGCTACTTCAGGAAATAAAAGAGGACATGAGGAAATGGAAAGACATCCCCTGCTCATGGGTCGGGAGACTTAACATTGTCAAAATGGCAATACTACCGAAAGCACTGTATAAATTCAATGCAATTCCTATAAGGATACCCATGACATTCTTCAAAGAAATGGAGCAAACACTCCTGAAATTTATATGGAACAATAAGCCCCCACGAATAGCTAAAGCAATTCTTGGGAAAAAGAAAATGGGAGGAATCAACCTCCCTAACTTCAAACTTTACTACAAAGCGGTAATAATCAAAACAGCATGGTACTGGAACAAAGGCAGAACTGCAGACCAATGGAACAGAGTTGAATACACTGACATCTCCCCTCAATCATATGATCATCTAATCTTTGATAAAGGTGCAAGAAATGTGAAGTGGAGTAAGGAACGCCTCTTTAACAAATTGTGCTAGCATCACTGGACGGCTACATGCAAAAAAATGGGCTCAGAACTCTGCCTAACACCATGTAAAAAGGTAAGATCAAAATGGATTAAAGACCTCAACATCAGACCAGAAACCATAAGGTACATTGAAGACAAAGTTGGCAAAACCCTCCATGACATTGAGGCTAATGGTATTTTCAAAGATGACACGCCACTGGCCGAGCAAGTGAAAACAGAGATACATAAATGGGACTATCTTATACTAAGAAGCTTCTGTACCTCCAAAGAAACAGTGACCAAAATACAAAGACAGTCTACAGAATGGGAAAGAATATTCGCCGAATACACATCTGACAAGGGGTTGATATCAAGGATATACAAAATACTGGTTGAACTCCACAAGAAGAAAACATCCAACCCCTTCAAAAAAATGGGGCAATGAAATGAACAGAAAATTTCTCAAAGAAGAAATCTGAATGGCAAAAAAGCACATGAGAAAATGCTCTACATCATAAATCATCAGGGAGATGCAGATCAAAACCACAATGAGATACCATCTCACACCTCAGAGACTGGCCCACATTCAAAAGAACAAAAGCAACCGTTGCTGGCGCGGATGTGGCGAGAAAGGGACACTCCTTCACTGTTGGTGGGAATGCCGACTGGTTCAGCCCTTTTGGAAAACAGTATGGACGTTCCTCAAAAAATTAGAAATTGAGCTCCCATTTGACCCAGCGATACCACTCCTGGGAATATATCCCAGAGAGGCAAAAATGTGTAGCCGAAGTGACATCTGCACTTGTTTGTTCATTGCAGCACTCTTTACAGTAGCCAGAAACTGGAAGAGACCTGAGTGCCCAAGAACAGATGAGTGGTTAAAGAAACTTTGGTACATCTACACAATGGAGTACTATGTAGCTCTTAGAAAAGATGAAGTCATGAACTTTACATACAAGTGGTACAATATGGAAAGTATCATGCTAAGCGAAATGAGTCAGAAAGAGAGGGATAGACATAGAAAGATTGCATTCATCTGGAGGATTTAAAATAACAAAATATGAGATTAATACCCAAGAATAGCTGAGATCAACAGCAGGAGGATTACTCCATAACTTAGAGGCCAGCCGGGTATTCTAGGGGAAAGGACAGTTCAGATAGGAAAGGGAACACCAGATGGAGGGTGTTTGGAGATCCTCCCAGGAGGGGAGATGCAGGTTGAAAGTAGACTGGACTGAACATGTTTGCCACTCAATTCCTCTTTGACTGATCACAACACCCAAAAGGAGAGAGAGAACAAAAGGGAATGCCCTGCCACAGTGGCAGGGGGGGATGGAGGGGATGGGGGAGATAGGGGGGAAGGGATATTATCCTGGTGGTGGAAAATGGGCACTGGTGGAGGGATGGGTATTTGATCATGGTATGACCGAAATCCAAGCACAAAAATTTGTAAATCTACAACTGTACCTCATGGTGCTTCACTAATAAAAAAAAAAAGAAAGAAAAACACACTACTCATTACACTATCTCTCTAGCTGAGATTTGTGCATTTATTCTCTAACTAAAATTCATTTTTGTAGTACTATAACAACAATATTAGAAGTTCTAATATATAACAGTTGAAAATTATTCATCAAGTAACGGGATTAATTTTAATGATGCAATTAAATTTTAAAATATTTCACAAATCTCTCATTTTTTAATATATGCCATTTTAAAAAGCACATACGATTTTGTTTTCTTAACTATTTTACTAGTGGTTTTCTCCTATTAATTTGAATGCATACATAGTTCTATTGTCTAGAATTAGTGTGAAAAAAGTAAAATGACAAGAAAATTTTATTTTCAAGAAAGTTATACTACAGTGATGTTGATAAAGTTTATAAAGATTTACCAATTTATGTCAAATGTCATAATTTGTTAAGTACCTAGGTAGGTTGAAATTTACAAAAGTAGAGTCAAGGTTAAAAAATAATTATTAGAGATATTTGTCCTCCATAACAAGTGTGTTATAATATTTAATCAAATATAATTTAGTGTAAAATGTCCTTGCCTTAGGGCAATTTTTCCCTTTTTTTTCCTTTGGCTAATGTACATAGATTAAAAATGAAAAATAAGAAACAAATCATACTGGTTAAATGACTGAAAAGTTATTCACTATGTAATCATATATTGCTTTTGGATCAGACCCAGCGATGCACAGGGGTTACTCCTGACTCTGAACTTAGGAATTATTCTTGGCAGTGCTCAGGGGACCATATGGGATGCTGGGGATTGAACTGTGGGCCGCGTGCAAGCCCTACCTGCTGTACTACAGCTTCAGTCCCCTTATTTTCATTTCAAAAATAATTTCCTATTTAGGAGTAGAGATTGTGACACTGAGTAAGGCACATGGAACTCAAATAAAAATACACAGAAGCCTTTTTAATGATAGCTCAATTTCATTGTACTTTATTCTACTGGTCTTTAGCTCACACATGGAGATGCTCAGGGGTTACTTGAAAATTACTTGAACTGAAAGGTGTGCTGATATTTTCCCTTACAGAATATTTATCTCAAATGCCCCAAATCATTGTATGTTTAAAAAGAAATTTATTTATTTTCAATGCTTTAATTTCTTTATTTCCTTTGGTTTTTGGATGACCCCCAGTATAGCTCAGAGATCAATATTGGCTCTATGTTCAAATTACTCTGGAGGGCTCAGAGAACCAGTATTTATTTTTATATTTATATTTTATGAAATATGAAAGTACATAAGCACTTCACCCCAACTTTTGAAACATTATTTAAAGTAATCCTTTGTGTAAAAATGATTAAGATCATGAATGGTAACAATTACTTACTAATACATTCAGGTTGAGCTGACCATCCTTTTTCCTGACATATAATTGTTCCTGAAGTTTTACCATTTGCTGTTGCATATCCTGGTTTGCACTTGTATTGTGCTTCCTTATTTAAGGAATATTCAGTAGTAGTTTCAGAAAAAAAACCATTCTGAATTGTTATTTCTGAACATGTTTCTAAAAAGGAGAAAGCATAAAGAAAAGACAAGTATTCATTTAATAATCATTTTCATAGGAAGTTAAATAATACATAACCTTATCAAACAGAACATTTAAAAGAAAAGATTTTAATATGTCAGTTCTTTTGTCAGAGAAAATAGATTTAGTTTCTCAAGAGACTTTATCAACAAATATTATAAAAAATTTATTGAGACCTGGAAGGACAGTACAGGTGCTAGTGTACATGTTTTGTCTATGTTTGGTCCCAGCTCCATGCCACATGATCCTCAGGGCATTTTGGGTGCAGAGTTGAAGGTCTCTGAACCCTGTTGTGGTGGTCAGATATCCTGTGCACTTCAGGGCCATAGAACTAATGAACACTCTAATCTTTGTGTTGAACTGCTGCTGCTTGGGAGTCCCTGTTTGGGAAGCCTAAACAAACAACGTTGAAGCAAAGCAATATCAAACACTCCATTTTCTTCTCTGGAATCATGAGAGATTTGTCTAAGAAGCATGGAGCCTACTGTATCCCAGAGCTTTTCCTATGTTGAGTTCTGTACTGTCTTTTTTTAAATATTGCCTAGTTTGGTTCTCTCTCTCTCTTTCTTTCTCTCTTTTTTTAATGTAGGAGTACTGCTATTTATTCAATTGTTGATTAAGCTGACTGAATTGGATATGAACTCTACATTAGTTTTCAGAAAAAAAATTATTGGATATCTGTGAGATAGACGATTACAAAGCTGTTCATAATTGGGTTTTAGTCATACAATGATCCAGCACCCATTCCTCCATCAGTGTACCTTTCCCACCACCAACGTCACCCATTTCTCCACCACCATTTTCCAAACCCTCACCCCTACCCCCAAGCCTCCCTCTATGTGAGGCACTTTCCTTCTTGTTCTCTCTTTTCTTTTCTTTTAATGCATTATGGTTTTCAATACAGGTACAAAGATGTTTTGGTGTTTGTTCAGGGTGTTTGGTACTTTTTTCAGATTGGTAAGGCTGGAGTAGTTTTTCAATTGAGTGGAAGCTTGGTGTATGCATTTGGTTGTCGAGGCTTCTGAAAGTGTAGAGAGGTGGGGGAGGTAGCCCATCCCGACCCTGAGAAAGTTTGGAGATTTCAATGTCAAAACCCACATACCAAAATTTTCAGCAGATTATACCTTGGTGAGGTGCGTCCTGAAATGTAGAGCCAGGCTGGAGCTATGGAGGTGATTTTGGATTGTGGAAACAGGCGGCTGCCGGTACCTCTGTTTGGGTAGCACTGGTCAAAACACATCCTTCCAATTTACCCTGGTCTGTTCAGACATACATGAGTCTGAGCTTAAGTGAGACTTTTGATCTCTTTCAAGATTTATTTATGGGTCTCTGAAGCAAGGTCAGTGGTAGAGCTTACAGGGTGGTGCTGGCGTTGGTTTGGAAGGTGACTGCCAGTGCTTCCATAAGTATAGGGAGGTGGGGGTGGTAGCCTATTCCAGCTTCAAGAGAGCCTGGAGATTTCAGTCACAAGACCTGCATACCAGAATTTCCAGCAGATTACATCTTGATGAGGTCCGTCCTGAGACGGTGGAGTTAGGCCAGGGATATGGTGGCAATTTTGAATTGTGGAAGCAAGTAGCTGCTGGGGGCTCTTCTAGGGCTGGCCACCAGGCCAACCTACCCCCTTATGATTTACCCCAGTCTGTTCAGCCATGTGCAGGTCTGAGATTAACTGTGGCTTTTGATCTCTTTCGAGATTTATCTATGAGTCTCCAAAATAAGGCCAATAAATGAGCTGTTATAGTAGAGCTGGAGGTGGTTTGGGGTGTGGCTCCCACATACCTAACTTTTGGCCCTTTAATTTCTTAGTAAAGTTGGTCTCAAGTTTCTGGGGGTCTGGCCAAAGGTACAGTGATAATTTTGGAGTATTAGGAAGTCCAAAGACACCGTCAGGCTGCTGATCCACTCGCCCCACAGGTACAGGTTGACCTGTTCTTGGCACCATATCCCCCTAGTTTGATTCTCTTAATAAACCCAATTGCAACTTCTCAACTTAGACCCTGATAATCTCAGCTTAGGCCCTTCTACAACAGCTATTACAGCTTTTGACGTTGAGAACGTGAAATGTTTGTCTTGGAAATTGTTGCTTAATGCCATATGAATTTATGTTGTTCAAACAATTTGGTGAATTTTAGCACATTCATTCAACTATCTTCTAAAGCCAAACTTACAGAATGTTATTTGACAAGACAGTAAGAGCAGATTCATGTCAGTTACTATTTGTCTTTCCAGAACTCAACATCATTTATTCAAAATTTTGGATCAAAATATTTTGAAATGATTAAAAGAAAGACATCATAAATAAAATTTCATAAGATGGGATAATGTAGTTATGACAGAGAAAATTGATCATTATATTTATATAAATGAAAATAACAAAGATTACTGATTGACCAAATTCACTGCAAGAAAGTAAAAAAAGAAATTTGGAAAGAATCACATTATACAGCCAGTTATTGAAAGCTTTCCAAATCTACATGTAGTTGACAATATAACTTGTTCATAAAATACAAACGTCCATCAAGAAAAAACCCAAATTATAACCTCACTGCACCTCTTAAATTACTAGAAAAAGACCAACAAGGAAAACCCAATAAAGCAGAAGGGGAGAAATATTAAAATTTAAGAAAATTCAATGAAATAGAAACAATTTTACAGAATATCAACAAAGCCAGCAATGTCTTTTAAGTAGAATAAACAAGATTGTGAAACTAGCAATTGTAATTCAATTTAGAAAGAAACAAGATAGACAACTCTAAATCGCCATATCAGAAATAAAGGAAGTTCTAAAAAATACCACAAAAAATTTCACAGTAACATCCAAGATACTATAAAAAAGATTTGTCATGAAATTGGAAAACCTAAAAGATACAAATATTTCTCTTGGAATTCTTTAATCTCTCAAGACTAAGTCAGGAGGAAACAGCACACCTCATTGGTTAAAGGTAAAAGGTAAAGGCCCTCCCGTTGATCATCGATTTGCTCAAGCGGGCCCAGTAACGTCTCCATTGGAGACTTTGTTGTTACTGTGTCTGGCATATCGAATACTCTCGGTAGCTTGCCGGGCTCTCCGAGAGGGGCGGAGGAATCGAACTCGGGTCGGCCATGTTGGCTGCTTGTAAGGCAAATGCCCTACCGCTGTGCTATCGCTCCAGCCCCTGGAGCGTAGCACAGCAGTAGGGCATTTGCCCTGCACACAGCCAACATGGTCGACCCGAGTTCGATTCCTCCGCCCCTCTCGGAGAGCCTGGCAAGCTACCGAGAGTATCTCGCCTACACGGCAGAGCCTGGCAAGCTCCCTGTGATGTATTCGATATGCCAGACACAGTAACAACAAAGTCTCCAATGGAGACGTTACTGGACCTCATTAGTTATTAATGAGGAAATGAAAATAATAACTGTAAGTCTCCCTCAAGGGATTGGGAAATAATACAGTGATTAGGACACATGATTAGGTTGGTCCAGATGCAAGTTCAACAACCAGCACAGCATGGTCTCTCAAAAATTGCAACTTCCCACACACTCCTCTGGAGTGTCCAAGTATCTCTAGCATCACAGGATCTGACTAACATCACATCATCAGTATTTTACACTAAACTGCCACCATAGCTGATGATGAAATGCCTGTGTGACCCCTGAGTCCCTGAGCTTCACTTTTGATGCCCAGTTCCCACCCAACAAAATAATAATCAAATCCAAAAACCACCAAAAATGTCATACTGAAAATAAAAGCCCCATTAAGCCCTGCCATAGATGCAGGGTGGGATGGGGGGGTGGGGGGTGGGAGGGATACTGGGACCCATGGTGGTAGAAAATGGGCACTGGTGGAGGGATGGGTATTTGATCATTGTATAATTGAAATCCAAAAATTTGTAAGTCTATGACTGTAACTCATGGTGTTTCACTAATAAAAAATTAAACAAAATCTTAGAAGGTAAAATAAATAAACAAATAAAAGCCCCATTCAATAGGGCTTACTAGTAAATTTTTCCAAACTGTCAAAGAACTTTTTCTTTTCTTTATTCTTAAATGACTTTCAGAAGGTCAATGAAACTGGAATTATCCTGACACTTTTTGTTTTGTTTTGTGCCTGGATCCCACATCCCCACATGCTCAGAATTTACTCCTGGATCTGCCCTCAGGAATTTCTCCTGGCATTACTCAGGGAACCATATGGGATTTCTGGGATTGAATCTGGTTGGCCAAATTCAGAGTGCTTTTACCTATTGTACCGTCACTCCAGCTCAGACTCCTGACACTTTCTATGTGGCCATTGTTATCCTGATATCAAAAACAGAGAGAAGCAGTATATAAAAGAAACTTAAAGAACAACACCCATGATTAACATAGATGGTAAGATCCTCAACAAAACTGAGAGGAACCAAACCCCAGCCCACAAAGCATTAAAGGAATCATAAACCATGATCAAGTTGGACTCACATCACATTTGCATATTTATTTGTATGCAAATCAATACAATATATCACACGAATACAAGTAAGGAAACGTGGATTTCATCCAATGTTTCTCTGCATCAATGACTTTAATCTTTCCTTCCTTCTAGGATAAAATACCCATCTATGATAAAAAAAAAACCTGAATAAAATAGAGAGAGAAGAAATTTTCCTCAAATAACTTGAAGGTATTTACAAATTCAAGCTAAGATAATACTCGATGGTATGAAACTGAAAGATTTTCTTCAAAGATAAGGCCCAGGAAATGGATTCCCACTCTCACTACAATTCAACTTAGCTTGTAAGTCTTTTCACAGCAACAGGACAAGAAATGATATTAAAGGGAATCCAGTCAGAAAAGTAAATCACACTTCTTGCACGTAACATAATATTATACTTATCAAAATCCCTAAAAAAAACTACTAAAACTCCTAGAAACAATATATCTACACAGGAAAGTGGCAGAAATCGAATGCATTTTATATGCTAACAGTGGAAAAGGGAAAAGCAAAAATAAAGCAATCT